TTTTGTATGTTTCCTCACTCACCACTTAATTTGATGTAACAAAATTATGAAAGTTTATATGCAATATTAAATATTGTGTTATGCGTCAATATGTGAAATATTGAAACAAAATAGCTTTCTCATGAATTTATGTATGTCTTTTGTCGTCTATATCTCATCAGAAAATGTTGAATACATCTGGTGAAAAATTATCGACTGCAAAGGGTTAATAGTGGGGAAATGAATTAAGAGGAATTTGAGTTGTTTGGATGTATTGGTTATTTCTATGAGAGAATGTGAGAAATATGAAAGAATTGTGGTTTGTTGTAGTCTTGTAGTAAAGTGAAAGACTTGATATTAGAAGGATTGAGAAATTCTGAGAGAAATAAAATTAATGAAATTAGTATTGGAATAGAATTCAAATATTCAATTAACTAAAGTTCCAAATGAGTTATAAATATTTCAGTAATTAATAATCGAACAGAATTCAAATAAACTAATAACTAATACCTACAATTAATACACATATATTTCAATAATCAATCGCTAGAGAAAATTCGAACACGGCTGATTAATCACTGAAATTAATATAAAAATATTTTACCACTTAATACAGAAACACTTTAACAACTAAAGCCCAAACCAAATTCAATTATTAAACTAATACTCAAAATTATTTTGAAAATACTTCACCAATTTACACAAAAACATTCTAATAATTAATATTCAATCATCAATCAAATATAAAAATATTTCAATAACTAACATGAAACTACATTTCAATGATCACTATCCAAATAATTAACCCTTTGCACTCCAGAGACACCTCTCAGTCGTCAATTGATTTGACAAAATTATAAAGTCGAATATTTAATAATAAATTCTGTACAATGCATGAATATCTGAAACACTGAAAGAAACTAACACGTTTCTTCAATTTATATGGGATTTCTCGTCAAGACAGTTCGAAAAAATATTAAAGTATTTCCAGTGAATAACTTCCGGAGTGCAAAGGGTTAAACCTTCCACCATTAGATTCGATATAACAAAATTACAAAGCGTTATATGTAACATTAAGTTCTGCATAACCCCTCGATATGCGAGATATTTATATAAAATAGTCACATTTCTTAATTTATTGTACTATGTTTCCTCATTAGTTCGTTTCGAATGATTTCATCTATATCTCATCGGTAAGTGTTGAATATTTCCAGTGAAAAACTTCCAGAACGCAAAATGTTAAGTACAAAAAATCCTCAAGATCAATTTCCCAAGTGTTTCTTAACCCTTTGCAGGCGAAGATTCCTCGAAATGTGCAAAACCTTTAGCAGTTGAAGTTAAATTATATATCGATTGCTTAATTAATAGGAAAAAAGTAAACTACGTGCTGATCTCTTGGTGTTTGACTAATTAAATCAATTGTTTACGACTCAGTCTTCAAAATGTGAACATCTGATCTCATCGAAATGTCGACATTCGTCCGCAAAGGGTTAATTCACCTGTGTTCGGCCGAATGATAGGCCATTGTCCTAGAAAACCGTTGACATTCGGCGATGCTGTCGCCTCAGAAAATTCGCTGGTACACGTAATTCCTCGATCGACGCGGTGAAAAATGTATCGCGACGTTTTAAGTGCCGGCGGCGATGGCCGCCGAAGCAGGAGCCAAGAAGTCTTGGGCATCATTGTTCTCCGGCAGCCATTAACAAGTTCCCAGCTTCTCAGCCCGACGTCCATGAGTTTGCAAAGTGATGGCACTTCAATCGACGGGAACGTCTGACTTCTCGATGTCGCCAATTAACTCGGAAGCACGGGGGAACGGGACATCAAAAAGTAAATCATTAACGATGCGGCGTTCCCGTGACACTTCGCCAGTTTCCGACTTATCGCGACGTGACGGTGACTCGATATCGGACACCCTCCCGCGATATTTTACCCCTTTCTTCCTCCACGCGTAATTACGAACAATAACTTCGTTTTACGCAATGCCGCGCCGATGATTTAATCTCGCTCTGCCTTTGGAATTTATTGGAAGAAGCTTTTACATTCGTTTGTTACTTATTGCTGCCTGGAGATCGAATATTAACAGCTCATGCTGAAATACACGGCTATATTATTTGTATTTTTAATGGAAAATTCGATTCGACGGGACGCAATAGTTAATTTGATTTTTAGAGGATCTTTTTTAATGCTGGATTTACAGACGTTTGTTGTAAACTTTATTCTCCTAGAAAGCTATGCGATCGTTTATATGGATCGCGGAAATTGTAAAATCAGAGTGTTGCAATGCGTTTTTGCGCAATTGCACGAATAGAAATCAACTTAAATTGTTTCTAAATAATGTTCAAACAATTCGATATTCGTAAAATTGACGGATTCTGTAAATCTAGCGTTAAGAATTGTTTTTGCGGGACTAGATGAATATTTACATTTGACGACTGATTGTATTTCTTTGTTTCCGTTGATTACTTTGCAACTTTGTTGCAGTGGAAATTATTTTTCAATATTCTCCATGAATTTTTATAATAGCTCTGTGTAGCCATTTCTACAAATTTAACCCTTTGCAGACGAGAATTGTTTACACCTTTGAAAACCTTTTGTATAAAAAAAGCCGAGTTACGCATCAAAGCCATAAAATACTAGAAAAATAGTGCACACCAATCTCAAGTAATCTGAACAATTAAATTACTATATACATTCGAAGTCTCCATTACGACAGCCATTTCCGCAAACCTAATCTCCTAACCTCAAAACTGCATCCAACAATTGAACCACGCCAAATCAAAATCAAAAACCATCACAATTCCACTTCCCAAACGCTACAAAATCGACCCAGAAATCGTAGAAAACAACAAACTTTCCACAACAAGAACGAAAACGCCAGTGAAGAACAAAAGAATCAACCGTTCCACGGCAAGAGCCAAAATGGCAACCAGAACCGCTGCACCTAGCCTCTCCACGGAACTCGATACAGCCCCATAAAAAGGGAGCACCGGTATCGTTCAAGATCCCCGAAGCGATCGATTGTTTCGCGAGAACCATTAACGAATTTCTAGCTTCTTAGTCCGCGTCCGGTCCAAAAGCGGCACT